TTTTTTTTTTGGGGGGGGGGGCAGCACATCTTACCGTTAGTAATATGTACTGCATACAATGTTGTAGTGTGTAATTTGCTGATGTTATCATTCTCAGATGTTCAATTTTAATGATTAACTGTCTGAAACGCTGCTGTATAGATTCAGTTTTCTAAACTAAATCAGGGGATTCTGTTGCTTGAAAACATGAACCCGAATGCTGATGGCTTTGACAGGCAGATTCGGGAAGTAGTGAGACGTTGCTGCAAAATATACAGAGGGGAAAAATAAACAAACGAAAGGACTGCAGAGAAAACTCTCACTAACTTTCTGACTAGAAATGCCAGGTCCACTCCCAGGGGATAATCCAGATGACCCCAAACCTTCTGAAAGGGGAGATATTACCACAACTGACAAAATGCTTACGTCGTCCAACTCATCGGTGGAGTAAATTTTTACGATTTGCGTATTTTTTAATATATGCGATGTATTAAAATATATCTCTTCAGTTTATATGTAATGTTTCCAACTGCCAAAGATAAATAAAGATTGGATTTATAATGATACTGATAACAAAAGGTATTAATAATGAAAACTAAAAAAAGAAAAGAAAAGAGGTATTGGATTTTGTCAGAACCGACTTACAGTTGAGTTGTCAGAAGGGAACCCCCCATTGTAAGTCGGGGACTACCTGTAAATATTTGGTGAGGAGAAAAGCAAGTAAAAATGGCAAGTCTTTGAGGTAAGGAGATACTGAGTGAAGTACCCAACTCAGGCTAGGATGAGGAGGGATCATACAGGAGAGCTCTTGGTAGAGATAGTTTTCAATATGCGTTCACACATACGCCTTCATTTCTATCCTCCTGACGACCCTGTGTGGGGCAGGACTGTTTCTCTTATTTTAAAGATGAGAACACCAGGGCAGAGGGCTGAGACATCCCTGCCCGGTCTCATCAGGCAGCCAGGAGCAGTAGGGACCAGAATCTTAGCTACTGCTCCTGCCCCAGGCCTCTGAGGTCAACTCTCATGTCTGCTCAACCCGTCAAAGTGTCCCCAAAGGTGAGGGAGCTGGAGGAAGGCCAGCAAAGATGCCAGTCTTGTATGCAACTTCATAAACACAAAATATCGAGCTGCCAGAGAAGGAAAAAGAAGGCAAAAAAAAAATTTTTTTTTTTTAAAAACTTGTCTATGAGTGTATTTTAACTGATGCTCCTTGGAGCACTGGAACTAAGAGCAACTAATAAGCAAGATCAAACCCTCAGGGTAAGTGGCATCGGCTGCCTTTTTAAAGTCCTTGTCTTATGATCTGAGGAACACTAATCCCCTTTCCATACTGGGTGATGATTAGAAAAATTAACTACCGAGTAAGTATTTTAAAAATACGTCACGATGGCGTGACTGGAAGAAAAGGTTCTTTACTGAAGCACAAAAAGTTAGGGGCTAAGGAAGAACTCCTTCCCATGGTGAGATGGGGGTTATGTACGAGATTTATCACAGCCCGAGGAATTTTAGCATTCTATTTCTACTCAGAAATCATTTGATGGGCTAGCACAAAGATAATTATATCTCTGTTTCCTGCAGCGAGCATATCAGTGAATCTCACGCGCTGGAAAATAAGCAAGAAGTCTGCTTGGCAGCCTCCTGACCTCTAACCACCCTTGGGGAGTTAAACTTCCTGTTCTATATTTACATCAAAGAACTCTGAACTTGCGCTCACATGCACTGTTTTCTCTCTAATATTTGCTCACAGCTCCTAGAATCTATAAAATTCCAGTACTATGGGGGGTGGGGTGGGGGGGAATTCTCTTATATTGTAAATGTTTATCCAAATTAGAAAAAGTTCCTATGACAGCTCATGCTAAAAAGCCAAGAATTAGGACTGTGTTAAGGCCAGGGAGCTACAGCTGGGGGACTGCCCCACACAGGCCAGCTCCACGTCATTGCAGTCAGTCTTTGGGGTCCTGCTGTGGGGACCCACAGAGCAGAGAGAGGGATTGGTTTCACACACAAAGATGAATGCTGTGCTTCCAAGCGGCCAGCCTTGGGAAGGGCTGTGCGTTCTCTTATTCCTTCCACCACCTGCATTCTCCCCTTTCCTGAATACACTGTGCTTCCTCAAGGCTCTTTTTCTTGCTCAGAAGCCAACACCAAAAAGCCTCCTAACAAGGCCCCTGTCTCTAGCTCCACCCATTCCAAACCACGTTGCTCGCCAACTCTGGCTGAACGTCTGTCAACAAACACGTCTTTCCTGGTTCCACACCTTTGCTCAGACAAGTCCCTCTGCCTAGCACCCCCTCTCCTTTGGAAAGTCTGTTTAAAACCCACCCATCTTTCGAGCCTATTTGAACATCAGCCTTCCCACAAATCCTTATGTCAATTCCAACAACCCAATCTGAGCTCCGCTTCTCCTTTGATGTCTCCCAAAGCAGGCTGTACAAATAAAAACAAACCGATACAAACAGATTTCATATTAACCACTTGACACTGGGGATGCTAAAAATTCCACCTCGTATCCCTTGAATCCTTACCTTCGGGGTCCAGGAGTTTAGTGAGGCCGAGGTGCTGCTCCGCCAGGTTAAAGGCGTTCTGCAGATTGTAGTGTGCATTGGATTTCTTCAGTTTGTCAAAATCTATCAGGTCAGGCCTACGAAGAACGGCAGAACACAACAGAAATCATGGCTTGAAAACCCATCATGAGACCAGCACAACAGGATCACTACTCCAAAAAATATTAGAATCACCATCTAGAGGAGTACACCGCTGGCATATTATTTAATCATCAAATAACAAAACATGATTTTGAATAAACACTGGGATGACTAAGAGTGTGTGTCAACTCGGCTGGGCCATGATTCTCAGTGTTTATATGTAATCACTCCCATCATGGGATCTGCTGTGAGTAGCCAATCAGTTGCAAGGGAATTTCCCTGGGGGTACGGCATGCATCCGAACATAAGCAGACATTCTGGCTTTTTGCTTGCTCTGGATCCAGCAGCTGCCTCCTGTTCGTCTGACCTCCAGTTCTTGGGACTTGAGCTATCAGATTATCTGCTGATCTTGGGATCTGTCGATCTTCACAGCCTGTGAGCAGAGTCCTGCTTTCCTACCTGCCAATCTTGGGTTCGCCAGCCCTTGTGGCTACGTGAATTGGGAGAAGCCTCTATCCTAATCCACAGACTTGGGACGTTCCAGCCTCTACAACTGCATGAGCTATTTCTTTGATATAAATCTCTTTCTATATGTATTTATACGCTTTACTGGTTTTGCTTCTCTAGAGAACCCAGCCTAAGACAAACACTATCAAAGCTTTTTAACAGAATGGGAGAAAACGAGTGACCTTGCTATTTTGTTTGGGAGACTGACATATTCTCCCGAATTTCTCTCAGGTGGAATGCAGGAATTTCCACGGTGGCGCAACATCGAAGGCAATGGATCTGAGGATCGAAGGTCACCCAAATCTGCTACAGAGAAATGGCAACATTCTCCCCCAAAGCTTTCAGCACATTTCCTAAGGACTTACCGGTGTTTGTGTATCAGGGCGTTGAAGGCCATGCCGTCCCGCCAGCTAGTGGTGAAATTGTGAATGTTGACATTGGGGTACCTGCCAAGGACAAAGGACAAGAGAAAAGCAGCAGAATTACCAAACACAGGTTGCTGTAGGTTTATGCTTTTGTTAAATGCAGTGTGAGGAAGTTTTTAAGCATTCTAAAATCTAAGGCATTTAATATTCATAAGGACAATCAAATCAGAGCAAACATCACTCAACTTCAGCTTGCTATAAAATTAAAATACAATTCACAGCTACGTGGCTTTTCTCACTTGGTAATTCAATCCGATGAAAGGTGTAAACTGTGTCCCAGAATTAAAACGCAACCCTCACTTAGGAAAAAGGGACCAGCACGCAGAAAGCTCTGAGGCCTATGGGCTTCCACTTCCCTACTTTGCCAGCAAACATATCAGGACCCTGCAATCACCGAGATCCGAATTCACATGCTACTTCAGAACAGGACGATGCTGGGCTTACCTGTCTATGTGACACTCAGCTTTCTTTTTCCTCATGCCGCTTAATTTGATAAAGTTTTGTAAAGCAGCTACCTCCCTGGAAAATTTGCCTGTGCCGAAAACTTACCCTTAAATCAGTTATTCTACACCATATTGATTATTAGTAATTTTATGTTGTAGTTAATTAAAGGTTCATACCTGACTTGACCTCCTTATTACACTGTAAGTTCTTTACGGTTTCCAACAACCAGAATGCTGCTCTGACATCACCTCAAACCACACTGATCGTGTACATTACAGCCACACCTGTACTCACAGTAGTGTTGACAGTAACACTCTAATTGTTGTTGTTGTGAGGTGCCATCAAGTTGGTTCCAACTCATAGCAACACTATGCACAACAGAACGAAACACTGCCCAGTCCTGCACCATCCTTATGATTGTTGTTATGCTTGAGCCCACAGTTGCTGCCAGAGTCAATCCATCTCATTGAGGGTCTTGCTCTTTTTCGCTGACCCTCTACCTTACCAAGCATGATGTCCTTGTGATAAGAAGTCCAAAGTAGCCTGGTACAAAACAAGCTCTTAATAAACACTTAGGGGCTGCATGACCCTAAATTGATGTGATGAGGCCTTTAAACGTTTTGGAAACCTTAAGGGGCAGTTCTACTCTGTCCTATAGGGTTGCTATGAGTCGGAATCAGTTGAACCTCGATAATTTCAGTGAGCAACAAAAAACATGCAGTTCTGTAAAACTATCTTCACTAAAATTTCACTTTAAGAATAAAGGGAAGGTAAACTTGGACAGATAATATATAAAGATTACTCTTAAGTTTACTGAGCAAAGCTTCCGTAGGTCAGGAGAAATTAAAGGGAAGCGAAAACCCTTGTTTTGTTTTGTTTTTTTTTAAAACACACACACACACACACACACACACACACGAATGTATCATGGATTTGATTCCTAAAAATGCTTCCAGAGTTTTAAATTCAAAATATACTGCTCTCTGGAGCTTCCCTAGTAAAGAGAAGGAAGGTGATGGGGGAGATATGTCAGGTCCAGCACATAAATCAGAACGCCTTCCATTTTGAAAGCTAGCTAAAAGGTCAACGTATCAACTGCTCACGTGTTAACGAGACTTCTCAATGGAAGCCAGTGGGAGAGACTGTTGTCAACACCTTATAAGTGATGACTTCAGTGGAACCTAGTCCTGGAAGCAGCAGCCCCTGGTAACCTTTCAGCCCACACTCACCCAGCTGTCTTCATCTGGCACCACAGCAGCAATGCATCCTTGGCAGACTTCTTCTCTTTGTTGTCTTCAGTTTCCACGCTGATATCCTGGATCTAAGATTTACAAGAAATATCAGACGAAATAACAACAGCCACAGAAGAGCAAGTCTGCATATACAGAGAAAGTAAGCTTTAGATCAAAGCCCAGCCCTGAAGACGATCAGCTCTGAGCGTCAAGGAAAACCGTCTTCCGAAGCCAGTGGTCAACTCCTGGAAACACCGACCAGAACCAGGCTTTCTGCTTTGCACACAGACAATGCTGAAGCGAAGACCAGTCACCTGCGTGACTTCTCAGCACCTATAAGGGGTCATTTCTGCCTCCAAAA